TCTCTCTCTCTCTCTCTCTCTCTCTCTCTCTCTGGATGATATTGGGAAAGATGTGGTTTCCTAATTTCTTTCTCAGTGCATTCATTGTTTGTGTACAAAAATGCTACTGATTTTTGGGTATTGACCTTGTATCTTGCTGTGTTCCTGAATTTGGTGATTAAATCTACAAGACTCTTGATACAGTTTTTGGAGTCCTCTATGTAGAGTATCATGTCATCTGCAAATAATGATAATTTCACTTCTGCTTTTCTAACCCTTATTCGTTTTATTTTTCTCTCCTGTCTAATTGCTCTGGCTAATGTTTCCAGAACTATATTGAATGGGAGTAGAGATGGTGAACATCCTTGTCTTGTTCCTGATTTTAAAGCAAAGGCTTTCAGTTTTTGCCCATTTAATATGACATGGGCTGTTGGTTTCTTATAGATGGCTTTTATCAGGTTGAGATATAGACCATCTATTCCAATTCTCTGTGGGGTTTTTATCATGAGTGAATGCGGGACTTTGTCAGAAGCTTTTTTTGCAGCTATTGAGATGATCATGTGGTTTTTGTTCTTAGTTCTATTGATGTGGTATATTACATTTATGGGTTTGCATATATTGAACTATCCCTGCATTCCTGGAATGAATCCCACTTGATTCATTGATTGTGATGTATAATCTTGATAATTACATTTTGTTTGCTAGTATTTTATTGAGGATTTTTGCATCTATATTCATTAGAGAGATTGGCCTGTAGTTCTCTTTTTTAGTTGGATCTTTCTCTGGCTTTGAAAGCAGAGTAATACTTGCCTTGAGGAATGAGTTTGGGAGAATTGCTTCTCTCTGTGTTCCATTGAAAAGTTTGAGAAAAGTTGGCATTAAATCTCTAATTTTCTTGTAGAATTCAACTATGAATCCATTGGGACCTTGTCTTTTCTTTGTTGGTAGGTTTGGGTTATTAAATTTTCTATATCTTCTTGACTCAGCTTTGGCATTTCATATGTATCTAGGAAACTATCCCTTTCCTCTTGTGTTTTCCATCCTGTGAGAGTAAAGATTTTGGAAGTAGGTACCAATGATCTTGTGCAAAGGTAGATTTTTTGCTATGCATTTTTGCTAACTTATACTACTCAGTATGACTTTAAGCATATAACTTAAATTTTTCCATGAAGTGACCATAATAAATAGATAGTTAAGGCCAAAAAAGACCACTTTTTATAGTATACTTGGTTCAGAGTTCTTACATCAGTGTTTTTAACTGAGATCCTACCATCATAGTTTATATATTGTACAATGTGATCCTCACTGTTCTGCAGTGAAGTTCCGGGATTAATTTAAGGCAGAGTTCACAAGTGGATGATATAGTTTTCTATAAGCTTCTCCTCACCTCAGACTCCAGCTGTGAACTCCAGGACTCCTAGGCCACTCATGCCTCTGACCAGCTGACTACAAATTTGAAGGTTCCTCCTGCTGTTTATTGACAGGTTCAGTTAGTCAATAGATAACTCACTTCCAGTAGTCAATAGACAACTACTTCTAAAACCAGAGAAAGATCCAACTAAAAAAGAGAACTACAGGCCAATCTCTGTAAAGAATATAGATGCAAAAATCCTCAAAAAAAATTCTGGCAAACAAAATGCAGCAAATCATCAAGAACATTATACATCATGACCAAGTGGGATTTATTCTAAGAATGCAGGGATGGTTCAACATATACAAATCCATAAATGTGATACACCACATCAATAGAACCAAGAACAAAAACTACATGATCATCTCAGTTGGAGGGTAATTTTTATGACAAAGTGTACAAACCAGGAGCAGCCTAATGTGGAGGTACTTAGAAAGGTCTAGAAAGTCCCAAACACAGTGATTCTGTGTCTCCCTCAGAATACATTTCTTTCTTGGAATGCTGATATGTCACCAACCAGGAAGCTGTCCCGGACACCGTGTGCTCCTGGGTTTTGTTGGAGTTTCACTGATTATGTGTGGTTAATCCCATCTTTGGCCACATAAGTAAACTCAGTCTCTGGTTCCCGTCCCTGCACAGTGGCCCGGCTGGTTTCGCATTGTACAGTCCCTCTCCTTCTGTCACACAGGAGGTGTTTCTGGTTTGCTCTGCCTCAATGTTGAGAGATCACAGTGCATAACATTGGGTGTCATCTCAGGTACCCACTGTGTATGAGGAAGATGATCTTAGCATTCAAGACATTCCAAGATTCCCTCTTGGGGGTCTTAAAAGATAAATTATTATATAAACTTCCCTTGTAGCTTCATAATTCTAAAAAATTGTGATAGCAGTTACGGATGTGATTTAGAAACATTAGAACTTAAAATTGAAGATATTTAAAATATTTGAAAAGAAATCCTAATTTTAGGTAGAAAAATATAATTTCAAAATAAAATTCTGCTCTTGGATTTTAAGCTTTCTTACTGGCCTTTTCTGTGTAACATAATATAATTCCAAGAGATTGGGACATTTTTATCTATCAAGCCATTTTTTTATTTATTTATTTATTTATTTTTGTCTTTTTAAGGCAGGGTCTCACTGTGTAGTTCCCACTGTGGCGTTGAACTCACTTTATACCTCAAATTTTCCTAGAACTCGCAGCAATTCTCCTACCTTAGCCTCTCACATGCTGGGATTATAGGCATGCACCACTGCACCTGACTCAAGCTATTTTTCTTAAATGCAAATTGAAAAGAATTCTCTGACATTTATGAGACTTAGAAAGACATTGTTTCTGGAAATGCAGATGGCAGTGATATGTGTGTTTTCTTTTTAAGCACCCTAGTGACGGATGGGTGTATTCTGCAGTGTAGCTTATGAGAAGCAGAATTCATCATGAGACAAGATGAACTGTCATCTGCCACTCAATCATGTCATGTCTTGATGATCTACTTACTCTAATTCTAAATGTATTTTATCATGTGAGTCTCTAAACTCAGCAGAGATGTTACAGATGGCTTCCATAGTCCCAAGAGCCAGTGCATTTCAGTATTTTCAGTTAAGTAATTGTGATTCCTGGTACCCAAGGCATAGGAAGATACAGAAAAAGTTAATGAAGTGTATGGCTTTCAGAATTGTTGCATTAACTGATTGTCCCATTTTTATTCCAGTTGTGATTAAATGAAATGTGTATGATAAATTTCACTCTTCCTTTTTTTTTCCTCCAGGGTATCAAAAGGGGTATAATTGAGATGGCAGATCTGGTTGCCATAACTAAATCTGATGGAGACTTGATTGTGCCAGCTCGAAGGATCCAAGCAGAGTATGTGAGCGCTCTGAAATTACTTCGCAAGCGCTCGGAAGTCTGGAGACCAAAGGTTAGTTTGCATTCCATTCTCCATTTGTCACCCTAAGGGGACTGTGGACAATGAGAGAGTGTGTGTAAATCCAGAGCTAGACATATAATCAATCTTTGCTTGCATGGGAGGATTATAGTTTTAAAAATATGACAAAGCCAGTCTATGTAGTCATGATTTTAAATATAATCTTCCAACTACTGGATGTCAAGAACTAGAATGTGAGGTGATAGATTAGATTGCTTAATGCTTGATGTGAGGCAGTTAGAAGTGATAGTAAATCCATCCTGAAAGGGAACCATCCTTAAAGATTATAGAACAATTTGATTATTGATTTCAGACTAAGTATGAGAAAAGGCTTGTGATGTGATACTTGGATTCTTGTTATGCTTGTTGGATGCCATTTTCAATGACAGAGAGACAGACAGACAGACAGACAGAAAGAGAAGGAGAATGCAGGAGAAGAGCTTTTTCTGAAGGTGGACACTGTGCTATTAAACAATCAGCAGTGCCCATTATAATGGAACAGCAGTCGCTTACCTTACCTCAGCTTCATTTCCCTCAGGTGTGTTGTCTGCGTTGTGTTGAGCTGTCTTCTGCATGCAAGTCCTAGTACTCGCTGAACGAGGCAAACTGGACAGAGAGCGTGGAGCGAGTCACTCTAAGTTTCCTTCAATTTCTAGTGCTTGGGTCTTAAGGAAACCACCTCGCACTACCTTTTTCGGTGGTCTGGGATTCTCCTGACCATCTATGAGGAATCCTAAATTGAAAGAAGTCACTGAGCTAGGGAATTTGATCATAAATCCGTGTCTTATTTCTGCTGTGCACTGAGCAATCTGAGGTACCCCCCCCGCTCAGTCTATAGAGGTTAGTATGTGTACATTGGCGCAGGAGTAAAATCTCATTTGTGTCTCTGACCTACCTCTATAGTCTATAAGGATTGATGGCAAATACTGAAGTCTCCAAGAAAATGTTTTTTGTCATTTTCAGTATTACATTTTTGTTCTTTTCAATAGGTGATTCGGATTTCTGCCAAAACTGGAGAGGGGATCACTGAAATGTGGGATAAAATGAAAGAATTCCAGGACCTGATGCTTGGCAGCGGGGAGCTGAGTGCCAAGCGACGGAAGCAGCAGAAAGTTTGGATGTGGAATCTCATTCAGGAAAACGTGTTAGAGCACTTCAAGACCTACCCCACAGTGCGAGAACAGATCCCACTTCTGGAGCAGAAGGTTCTCAGAGGAGCCCTATCCCCAGGACTGGCAGCAGACTTGTTGTTGAGAGCTTTTAAAAGCAGAGACTAATAAAACGTATCCTACACAACCATTTTATATATTACTCTGTAAGTGTTTTAATATCCAAAAATTCACTTGTGTGTTTATATTACAGATTTTGGTAGTGCGTTGGCATGTGAACAATGCTTAAAAACCTGATGGCATGAGTTGGGGATATAGCTCAGCAGCGTAAGTGCCTGTCTGCCAAGCACAAGGTCCATTCCCAGTACTGAAAAAACAACAACAACAAAAAAAAAAACTTGATAGGAATTGGATATGTGTGGCAGAGTTAGGCAGTCATGCAGTGTTTGTGAGGAACCTGTTGTATGTTACTGAGTTCCATTTCTTTTGTTCTTATATGCTTGTGCAGGGGCCTGGGGGATAGTTTTTTCTCATCAGTCCAGAGCCAAGACAGTTGAGGATGAGAGAAAAGATCATGCACCATTAAATGTTTGCTTTGATTCTTTATTCCCTGGGTTTTCAGAGGAAATGTAAGCAAGAGTGAATGTGTTTCTGAAGTCTTACTTGAGGCTGAAACAGTACACAGTGGGTTTCTAAGAGTTAAAAGTGATTGGCTTTTAATGGCCCAATTTAATTACTGAAATGACCATGTACACTAGAAGCAAAAACAGCTGGCAAGATAGAATGGTGTGCAGACAGTTTTCAATTACTGGTCTGGAAGTGTAGACCATCACCACACGATAGGCAGAAAAGCCAAAAGAGCACACGGGAAAGCATCTACAACTGTGGGACTGTAACCCGCAAGAGCATAACTTCCGGGATGTCCTGTGAGGTAAGAATGATTCAGGGCCATTCAGTTTGAAGATTGTAAAGTAGTGACCATGGCACTTTCTATTCACATTTTAGAGATCTACTTTTTTTTTTGATGGTACATATCATGAGTTGTTGTATTGAGGATGAGGTTGGCTTCTGGGTTTAAATTTAAGCCAGATCAACCACTACAAGCTGGGGACAAGTAAGCTGTGATCTCTGTAAACTTCCATTTCCTACCTGGCAAGTGGAATCAGCATACAACTTCAGAGTTGGTGAGAAAGAAAGGAGGTGACTCAGGAAATCATTTGTCATCATAATGGGATAAAGGGAATGCTTGAAGGCCACTCATTATCAGGATTACATTTAAAGTTATGGGCACCCACAGTGGCACCGACCTTGGATAGAATTCAAATTGTGTCCCATGATCTTATTACTGCCATCATGCTCTTGTGATGTTTTATGATTGTCTATAAAGCACTATTGTAGTTAATTAGAATAGTTAATTCTTTGAATAATTCTTTGACTAAGTCTTAGAAGATTTGATGGTAGTTGTAACTAGTACATTTGAATGATTTCTAATCATAAAATTTCTCCATTGCATATAATGTCCTTTCATAAGGTTCAAATACACTCTTTCTGAACCCTTCAGAATATTTTACATAGTATGTTGGCTTTTAGTGTTTCTTACTTTCCTGGTTCCTATTTGGAATCAAATTTCTTTTTTTCTTTATTTCTTTTTTTTCTTTCTTTCTTTTAGGGAAGGGTCTACAGGGTGTTCATGGTCTCACTACTAGATCGGACTCGTGATCCACCTGTTTACAGCCTCCCAAGAGCTGGGATTATGGTGCATGCCACCATGCCCAGTCTCCATAAATTTCTTGAGTATTGTTTTAACAAACACTCCTTTACATTTTTTTAAAGATTTGTGGGATTGGCAGAACTATAGTAAGTACGAAGGGTTACGGGGAACTGAAAGGTTATCTATTTGATTGTCCTTATTTCTGAAAGGACTATTAAACCATCCAATCAAATGAAAAATTGCTATTCAGACACTTCTAGTGAAATCATATCATAATTTCTCATAGGAAGCTATAGGGAAAAGCAGACCTGTCATTTGTGGTACAGGGTAAGAAGCACACGTCATTCTAGAAGAGGTAAAAAGAGGCTTTGAGAGACCTACGTCTAGCTATGTATGTCTTCTCAGTTTGAACCAATGTTTCTGAGTTTTAACTACTCTTAAATGTTATTTATGTAGTGTTAAAAATCATTAGAAAACCCCCTTGTCCTCCTTATGCTGTTACTGTACCATTAGCTGTGATATAGAGACCAATCTCTAAAGTATTTTTCACCTTTATTACTGCTATTTGCCATACTGCAGACAGTGTGATATAGTGAAGTATTTGTGGTTTTGCTTTTACTTCAAACCTGTGCTTCCCTTGTTAAGCCCAAGGATGCTATCCAATCCCCCATCTGTAACCTTGCTATGCCAGACTCTCACCTGGTCAAAGGCAGCAGTTCTGACTCAGCTACATTAGGGCAAGTCTTAACCTCCGCTAGCCACGCAATTTTGATTAAGTTATTTTTCTGTGTGCACCCTCTTCATAAAATTAGTGTAATGACAGCTACTTTATAAGATTGTGGAAATAATCAAATAAGCTGTGAAGAGCTGCATGTTCATTAATTGGAGGATCTTGTTACAAATATTATGTATAGCTATTTATGAAGTTTTATTCTGCAGAACAAACTGGTACTTAATTTCAGATTGGCCAAATTACTTAATCTGTAAGTTTTCTCCCTATTAAATAGGAAAGGCAATAGTATCCACTCAAAGATGTTGAAAGGAATATCTTTGTTAACATACAGACAGTAAATAAATATTGGAGAAAAAATAGTAGTCACTCCTGATGTGGTTGTGAGGATTAAATAAGTCACAGTCTCCTTCCATTTTCAAAAGGATAATTCTTTTTTTTAATTTTTAAAAATTTATTTATTTTTTTACTTGATATTGAGTCTTACCTCATAGTAGTAGTAGTGATCACTACTACTCACCAAGAGTAGAGTGATCCTCTACTAGACTAGTAGTGATCCTCCTGTCTCATCCTCCCCAGCACTGAGATTACAGGCATGTGATTACATGCCTTGGTGCGGGGCTGGCATGGCATGTTGTGCTGGGGATTAAACTCGGGTCCTATGCTAAGCTATCTCTCCAGCCCCCAAAAGGATGATTCTTTTCTGAAAAAGAAATTCTATAGGTTGACTTTGCCTCATCTGAAAGTATGTTCACCATTATTTTCTGTAGGCAGGAAAAAATGTTTTATTACAAACCAAGCTTCAAGACTGACAGTTTTCCTAAAACAATATGCAATCTCATTAAAATAAGGAAGCTTAGTAACATAGTCATCATTAACTATTTATAGAACAACCTAACCAGGTTTTTGTTCTTCAGAGCCACTCTTGATATAGCTATTTACTTGCTTTCACTAAATTTTTATATGTTAAGCAGTTACATGGGACAACACCTAATGAATAGCATATATACAATACACTGTTTATGTAGTCCAACTTTTAGGGCCAAATTAAAAAAAAAATAGTGGAAAAAGGTCAATGAAAAACATTTCAACATTGAACTTACCCAGTAGATTGTCAGTGTAGACATTGGGATGCTACCATTAAAAACTAGTGAGCAACAAAGACTCCAAGAAATAAGTAACTCCTGTGGTCTGTATGCTAGTGCAGGTGGTGTAACTCGGCTGCCCTGAGGCCCATGAAGTCTATACAGATCTTTCTAAGTGCAAATGCTCCTAAGCCAGACTTTGTGAAACCCTTCTTAAGTTCTTGTGATGTAAGTGGGCATGTTTATCTTGGGTGCTTCAGAATTTGAGTTGACTCAGGACAGTGGTAAGCATGACTCCTCACTGAGTGTTAGTATTGTTATTCTGGTACAGCTATAAAAATAAAGATCAGATCAA